AACAAAGTAAGTTAATGTGATAGACTGTGGAAGGGACTACTTTAGATAGAGGAACCAGGGAAGGCTTCTCTGAGGAGTTGGCACGTGAGCTGAGATGTACATGATGAAAAGGAATCAGCCTTGTAAGGGTATGAGAGCAGAGCCTTATAGGTAGGGGAACAGCAAGTTAAAATATTTGAAGCATCTTAAAATAATGCAGTTGATACAATGGAAAAAAAAAAGTAGAAATGAGGGAAAATGGAAGAGACAGAACAGGAGAAAAGTTGTAACGCTGATATGCCAGTGCTAGAGTTTCACAAAATTATTAAAGTTGAGTTGCAAACTTGGTTTCTACCTTCCTGAAGCCAAGGTGAAAGTGGAAATGTGATCAATTTTATGGTTTGCTTTCTTCATAAGGAAATGAGGTGTCAGTTTTTCAAGGGGAAAAATATATTTTTTCTGGCATTCAGGATTGAACTACATTTGTTGCATGGATCTTCCTACAAGGAGCATAGAGTGATTTTATGTTAATGTGACACCCCCCGCCCCCGCCCTGCCCTGACCCACAAATGTCCATGGAAGCTGTGAATGTTACTTTATGTGCAAAAAGCACTTTGCAGAGGTGATTAAGTTAAAAACTTTAAAGCACTTTGCAGAGGTGATTAAGTTAAAAACTTTGAGATGGGGAGACTATTCTGCATTTTTCAGTTGGGCCCAGTCTAATCATTTGGGTCCTTAAAAGCTAAAAACCTTTCCTAGCTAGAATCAGAGGGAGATGTGATCTCAGAAGAATGGTCAGAAAGATACAATATTGCTGCATTTGAAGATGGAAGAAGAGTACCATGAACACAAGGAATATAAGTTGCTTCTGGAAACTGGGAAAAGCAAGGAAACATTCTCCCCTAGAGCCTCTAGAAAAGAACAAATCTCTGCTGACACTGATTTTAGTCCAGTGAGTCCCATGACAGACTTAGAGAGAGCTGCAAGATAATATATTAGTACTCTTTAAATCACCAAGTTTGTTGTAATTTGTTACAGCAGCCATATAAAACCAATACAATTAGATTCATTTTGGTTGGGATAATGGAAACTCAGCCACTTGAACTAGCTTAAGCAAAATAGGGCACCTTATTATAAAGATTTTAAATATTACATGGAATTCAAAGGCAGGAATGTGGCTTATTTCAGGATATGCTATGATTAGGGATGTAAAGCTCTCAGAACTCTCTTGGTCTTTCCTCTTTTTGTGAATCTTTTTCATCCTTTCT